CTCGCTGCCTGCAGCTGTTACCTCTTCGAAGCGGGCTCGGGAGTCCTCGGTGCCCGGGAATCCCCCGCCGATGTCCAGGAGCTGCATCTGGTAGCCCAGCTCTGTGCCCATCTCAAAGGCCAGCTGAGCTGCAGCCAGAGCCTGGGTGAAGGTCTGGGGCTCCAGAGCGTGGCTCCCGAGGTGAAAGCTGAGGGCACAGCCCCTGTTTCAGCCGTGTCCCCAGGGAGCGGCGAGGGGACGTGGTGCCGGGATTGTCGCTGGCTGGGAGCAGCTCTGAGCTGCCCACACAGCATCCCCTGAGCAGCCTGGTGTACTTGAGAGGTGTCTCTGCCCATGGCAGGGGGGGTGGACCAGATCCCTTCCAACCTGAGCCATTCTATGATCCCAAGCCAGGCTCCCTGGCCGGCCCCACAGAGCTCCCCAGACCTTCTCTGAGGGCTAAACCTGCTCCAGATTGGTCCCAACAAGGGCCAAGCTCCCCAAGTCCAGCCTCCACCTCACTCCCAAGCCAGAGCAGCTGGTGGCTCTGTGGACCCTTTTTTAGCAGGGCTTTTTGACACAGGCCAAGGGGGGATGGTTTTAAACTAAAAGAGGGAGATTTAGACTGGAGAGAAGGAAGAGATTTTTGGCACTGAGGGTGGTGAGCCCCTGGCCCAGGCTGCCCAGAGAGGTGGTCGCTGCCCCATCCCTGGAACCATCCCAGGGGAGGGTGGCCGGGGCTCTGAGCACCCTGCTCTAGCTGCAGATGTCCCTGTCCCTGCAGGGGGTTGGACCAGATGACCTTGAAAGGTCCCTCCCAACCAGTCTACAATTCCATGATTCTATGATTCTATGACCCATGTGTTCCATCAGGGCAGGACTCCCCACAGTCCCCCCAAGAGGGGCTGAGCCTATGGAGAAAGGACCAGGTGCTGTACCTGATGCCAACCACCTCCACAGCCTGCTCCTTCGCTGCCTCCAGCAGGTGCCTGCAGGACTTGAGCGTGGTCCCAAAGGTCATGCTCGGGTGGGCAGAAGGGCTGGAGTCAGCAGCAATACCCAACAACATCCTGCAGAGCATGGCCACACTGTGTGAAGGGGTCTTCAGGCCCTCTGTCACCCCACGGCCACCACCCCAAGCTCCTACTCCAGCCCCTCACTCCAACAATGCTGCCAGACACTGACCTGGCACTAGGGTGGCTCCTGGCCACCTTGCTCAGCTCCACTTCGTTGTCAAAGGTCATCAGCTGCACACCCTGGCTGGCTGCATATTTGATGTGGGCAACCTGCTTGCAGGGGCTGCTGTAGAAGATCTTGTCAGCTGGGACTCCAGTGCTTTGAACCCGTGTGATCTCTGCCTGCAGGGAAACG